GAAGAAGAAGAAGAAGAAGAAGAAGAAGAAGAAGAAGAAGAAGAAGAAGAAGAAGAAGAAGAAGAAGAAGAAAAGAAGAAGAAGAAAAGAAAAAGGAGGAGGGAGGGATGGCTGGATTAGGTAGGTAGGTAGGTAGACAGATAGCTATTGTTTGCTAGGGAAAGAGAAACAACAGACTTCTGGGCTGGCCTTTTCTTTTGCCTTGCATAGATTCTGCAGGAAATATGCCAGTATTATTTTCTTTCTTCTTTATCAAGACTTTACACTTTGCAAGCCATGTGGTCTTTGTGGCAGCTACTCAGCTGTGGGTAGTTGCCCTAAGCCCTAGCTGGCCGGTGCTGCTCTGGGCCCTTGGAATGTGTTCTTAGCTGGCTGCTTCTACATTTCTTCTTCTTCTTCTTTTTTAAAATAACTTTTTAAAAAAGATTTATTTATTTATTATGTATGCCGTGTTCTGCCTGCATGTATGCCTGTATACCAGAAGAGGGCACCGGAAGGCATTACAGATGGTTGTGAGCCACACTGTGGTTGTTGAAAATTGAACTCAGGACCTCTGGAAGAGCAGGGAGTGCTCTTAACCTCTGAGCCACCTCTCCAGCCCCTTATATTTTTTCTTCTCTTTGGTTTTTTATTTGTTTGATTGTAATGTGCTTTGACATAGTTTTCTGTATTCTATCTACATTTAACTGAGCTTCAAATTTGGGGTATTTTTAGTTATTGTTTTTTAAATATTTTTCAGCCCATAATTCTTCTGAAACTTCAGTTACATGTATATTAAACTATTTATTATATACAAAAGTCACTTTTTTTTCTAGTTCCTTCCTTTTTAATCTTTCTGACTTTAGGTTCTCTGATTTTGTTTTCTGTCATCTACAACTTACTCTCAGTTCTTCCTAGAAAATGTTTCATTTTTATTCATTTTAAAATGACATCTTCAGGGCTCTGGCAACTTGAAGACTCAGTTTAAACATTAGACCTTTATATTTATTTGGTTGTACATTTGTATTACAGCCCACATCAAACTTACCTCCTTTCTTCTGTAAATTCAAAACAGGTTTCACAATCCCAGTCTTTAGTACCAGCAACAAAGTACCAGAATACAGCTTATTTTGTAGCTTATTTTGTTCTTAGAATGCCTTCCACTAAAGAAATGTGTGTGTGTGGGGGGGGGTCTCTGATGTGAGGGTAAGAAGGAAATCTGGTTCAGCACGACTCAGGAGCCCGCTTTGGTTCAAACTTCTAGTCAAACTAAGTTGGTTCAAACTTCTAGTCAACCTAAGCAGTTTATTGTAAGCATATTTAAGTACGATACAATTGGGGGAAAGTTTCCTGGTGTCATACAATCCCCTGTGCCCAAGGAGACATAATTACACTGAAACTCTTCTCTGAGTACATGTCACTCCTTGCATGAAGATGGGTTCTAGAGATAGGCTGCATGTGTTATCTTAAGGGCCTGGGAGAGGATCTGGTGTGGTCTTAGTCATACAGATAGTGCAGAGGTCACCTGGAATATCAGCCACCTTTAGTCCTGGTTGTGGGAGCTTGGAGGAGCCCTGGGCCAAACAGATAGCACAAAGGTCACCTAGACTATTAGCCACCCCCAGTTCTGGTTGTAGGAGCTTGGTAAGGCCTGGCCCTACAGATAGACCAGGATATTCCATTCCCAGCCTTCTGAGTGGAAATACAGGTTATACATCTCTCCAATCCTGGTCTCCTTAGGGCTTATGTGTGAGGGTAAGGACCTTTGTGCTTCCAACAAAGAAAGGCAAGATGCTGTGTTCAAAAGTCATTTGAAATAAATCTGTTTGGTTATGTTACCAATTTCATATACACTTAGGTTTATTTATCTCATTGATTCCTAGTTTCTGATTACTCTTTGTAGCTTTTTGGTTTAATTTCCTTCCTGAATATATAGAGTGATTGTAGAGTAAAAAATACACTGGGATGTCTGTTCAGGAGTTAAATAACTCCTGAACATTCCATTCCTTATTCTTTGCCCGCACCTCTCCCTCCCCCATCCCCAATATTCAACATGTGTGTTAAGTTTCTGGAATCGCCTTTCAAGTGCTCCATTTCGAACAAAAGTAGTTTCCATACTCTCTCAAGCACTCAGATTCACACCATCTATTCTGGCAATCATCCTCTTAGCGGTGTAAGCAAATCTCCTCATTATGTCTGTTGTTCACAGTATTCCAGTATATGCAAGACTTTATTTACTTACTCAGCTCCTCCTTGGTTAATAGATATTTGAGGTGTTTACAGCCTTTGCCAGTAAAAATGCCACAAGAACTGCCTGAGTGCATATTTTTTCAAATTTGCACAGATGTATTTTCAGTACAGACTTTCAGCAGAGATTCCCCGGAATATGCGATTGCTGGGTTAAGGGATAAATTCACTCACTTGTAATTCTGTGAACAGTACCACAAGCCCGATTGGAAGCTGCACATCACTTGTTACTTCTACCAGTAACATAGCTGCCAATGTAGGCCCACAATTTTGGTGACACCAAAAGAAATGATACGTCAAAGCAACATAATTTCACTTTCTGTTTCGAATGAGTTGAGTATGTTTTAATAGTTTAAAATCAAATTGTATGAACTTTAGACTCTCTTAAAGGTCAATTACAGGACTTTTAAAATTATTTGTGTTAGCTAATTTTTTCAACTGTATTTCTGTCTGTTTCTAGGAGCTCCTTGGGCATTAGAGAAATTACCTTTTCCTGTGGTGTCTGGTACAAATGCTACGTTCAAAGGACCGTTTTCACTTTGTCCTTTTTAATAGTACTCAGGTCACACAAAATCTGAAATTATGTCCTAGAATTTCACAGCCCTATACTGGCTTTGGACTTAGAGTCATGGAAATGCCCACTACCCCTGTGGACCAATTACAGAGATCCACACACATTTATTTCCCTGTAAGACCTGGAGGTCTTTCATTCTTGCTACACTGTTTAACTGACCTAGGCAGGTTTTATCTTGGGGTATGTTAGAACTATAGATTCTACTTTACCTTCTCCCACCACCCCCAGATAATTGTTGGGGGCACAAAAGCCCATGTGCTCACAGATAGTACTAGGGAAACCAGGAACAGAAACAGGCAGGGTTGTCTTTTCAAAGAAAAAGATGAATAGCCTGTTTTTCCACCCAGAAGGCTGGGAATGGAGGTAGCTAATAGCCTGATGATCTGTGCCATCTGTAGGGTGAGGCCATATCAAGCCCTCACAAACAGGACCCTGGTGGCTAATAGTCTAGGTGACGTTTGCATTATCTGTATGGCCAGGGGCTCCTCCAAGCTCCCACAACCAGGACTGGGGGTGGCTAATAGCCCAGGTGACCTTTGTGCTATCTGTTTGGCCCAGGGCTCCTCCAAGCTCCCACAACCAGGACTAAAGGTGGCTGATATCCCAGGTGACCTCTGCACTATCTGTATGACTAAGACCACACCAGATCCTCCCCAGGCCCTTAAGATAACACATGCAGCCTATCTCTAGAACCCATCTCCATGCAAGGAGTGACATGTACTCAGAGAAGAGTTTCAGTGTAATTATGTCTCCTTGGGTACAGGGGACACAAGTGTACCCACAAAACTTTTCTCCAAGTTGTACTGTATTTAAATTTGCTTACAATAAACCATAGGGGGGTCAAACTCTAGAAGTTTGAACCAACCATGGCTACTGAGTTGTGTTGAGCCGGATTTCCTTCTTGCCTCCCACAAATCAAGGATCTTGACTCTGATGGCACTGATATTTGCAGGGACCCCACCACCACCACCACCACAGACAGTACTCCAACATCCCAAAAGAATTTCTTTTAAAAGTTTTCAATGTTTTATACCTTTATTGAATAGTAAATTTGTACATATTTTAGGTTGATATCTAAACATTTTCTGTTTGCTCTGCCAGTACATCTGTGTATACCAGCTTAGTATGATGGCTTAACATTTTTTTTTTTTTTTTGGCAAGACAGGCCCCTTTTCTTTGCTTTTTTTCTGGTGTTTTCCTGGATATTCTTGTTTATTTATTTATTTTTTATCTGAACTTAGGAGTCAATTTGTATAACTAAAAATCAAGACGAAAATCAAATGGAATTAGAATTTATTTTTTATTAACATTGTGTGTGTTTTTCATTTTACTTTATGTCCACCTTTATATCTGCAGAGAATGTTAAGAACATTTCTTCATAGAGTTTACTCATTTCTTGTTAACATAGGTAGGGATTTTGCAATTGTAGCTTCTTTGGAAAATTGTATTTTGATGCCCGTTTATGGCTTTCAGAGCTGCTTCTACGCTGGGCCATCTTGTCCTCTGCAGCGCTTTTTCACTGCCCCCCCCCCGCCCCCGTCCTTTTCTAGATGTACCATCTAATCACATTCTTACAAGCCCAATAGATTTCTTCTTGGCCAGCAAGCGTGGCGGTGCACGCCTGTAAGACCAGAAGAAGAAAGTGGGTTGACAGGAGTTTGAGGCCAGCCTGGACTATACGGCATGTTCCAGGCCAGCCGGAAGTACACAGCAAGACCTTGTCTCCAGAGAGTAAACAAGTACACCACAAGTGCCTCCAGAATCATGGGAAGTGCCACCCCGATGATAGGCATCTTTGTCTTCTTCTAGAAATGAGAACAGCCTCCCATTATCTCTGCATGATTCCAGTACGATACACTAAACAAGAATTGAGATGTTATGAACATAGGCCTTTGTTCTTCTTTTGAAGATTACTTTAGTAGGAACCCATTTTGAAGTTTTCAAATGCTTTTTCAGCATCTGTGGAGATAATAACAAGGCTATATATATATATATATATATATATATATATATCACTTAATTATATTAATAAATGTCCTAACGCTGACCTATCTTTATATTCCTGAAACAATTATGACATTTTGTGCTTTGACTTTATTTCCTAATATTCAGCTTTTTTGCTTTCTCTGTGGGTTTTCTCCCTTGTATTACCTTGTATCTTAGTGGCATTGTAATATTTATATTTAATTGGGAATGTTGAAGTTTTCCTTTGCTTTGCTTTGGAATGGATTTGGGAACAAAGGTTTTCAAGTTTCATTTTCAACCACTTTGGTTACTTTGAAGAAGACTTACTTTTTTATTTATTTATTTCTATTTTTCTAGACAGGGTTTCTCTGTGTAGCTTTGTGCCTTTCCTAGAACTCACTCTGTAGCCCTCGAACTCACAGAGATCTGCCTGCCTCTGCCTCCCGAGTGCTGGGATTAAAGGTGCGTGTGCCGCCACCACCCAGCTGAAGATGATTTTTAAAAATATATATATTTAAATGTATATATAATGTATGTATATATACACACACACATACGCACACATTATAAAATGTATACTGTACAGTGTTTTTCAGCCCTTCATTAAGGTGACAGAGCTCAGCTGGGCATGGTGGCACCCGCCTTTAGTCCCAGCAATTGAGACACACGGAGGAGGCAGATTTCTGTGAGTTAGATACCAGCCTGGTCTACATATTGAATTCAAGGACAGTCAGAGATGCATAGTGAGACCCTGTTTTGAACACACACACACACACATACACACACACACACACACAATGACAAAACTCTCTTTAGCTCTTAAGTGATTTTGATGTTGCTTTTTCCTGGGTGGGGCGGGGGGGGGGGATCTCCCGCTTTTCTTAATTGGTTCTTGTAATTTTTCAAAACTCTGCTCACTTACCATCCCCTCTAAAAGTCTCCACTGAACTCCCAGGAGGTGCCAAGTCCTTCCCTGGATGTCCACTGAACAGTGTTCATTCTCATGTAAGTCCACTTCATTAAATGACACATTAATGGCAGGACAGCCTCCGCAGGCAAGGGTCTTGGTAAGAGCCCTAGAGCACCTTTGCTTGTCAGCAGTTAGTGTCCAGTGCCAAGCATTGCACTCAACATGGAGTGGGAGCCTCAATAAATAGTTGCTAAGTCTACCTTGAAACGGATTGTCCCAGCCTATCAAGATGGTCTCAACTCATCTTTTTCCCGTCATAATTTTGTAAGTGGCTGGGGTGATATATTGTGTACCCTAATAAACTTGCCTGAGGCTCAGAGGATAGAGTCAGCCACTAGTTTCTTCTACGAAATCCTCAGCCTAAAGAGAGAGTTCCTGTTTCCTCACTCCTTATATACCTTTCTCTGCCACTGCCTGACCTCTATGTCTAATCTAGTGGCTGGCTCTGTCCTCTGATCCTCAGGCAAGTTTTTTATTAGGGAACACAATGTATCACCACAAGTGGCTCCTTAATCCATGCATGAGCTCCCAGGGGCCCGAGGGTTGGGGGAGGAGCCATGTTTCACTACCATCCACTTTGAGCTTGCGATCACCACCAACCCCTACTAATTCTGACATTGAAATATATCAAATTCTCCCACATCTCTGTGGCAGCCATCTTCAGTGCCCATCATTGCTGCCTAGGCTGCTGTTTTCGATTCTTTGATCCTTACCCTGCCCCTGTGTAAAGATTCTCTCCCGGGAAGCCAGGGTGACCCTTTAAAAGTGCAGGCCTACTGATTTACCTGCATGAAACCTATTTGTGGGCTCTGTTGTGGAATATTATTTTAACTGGGCAAAGCTGTGTTACATTTGTTTATGCTGTGGAATAAATATTACTTTAACTGTGTAAAGGTGTGTTTATACTGCATTTAATGATGTAAGGGTGTGTTACACTTGTTTGTGCTGCATTTGTTTAATTATGAAGAGATGTGTTGCTGTTTCACCTTGCCTGATTGGTCTAACTAAAAGAACAGCCAAGCCGGGCAGTGGTGGCGCACGTCTTTAATCCCAGCACTCGGGAGGCAGAGCCAGGTGGATCTCTGTGAGTTTGAAGCCAGCCTGGTCTACAGAATGAGAGCCAGGACAGGCACCAAAACTACACAGAGAAACCCTGTCTCGAAAAAAACAAACAAACAAAAAAGAACAGCCAATAGGTAGGCAGAGAAAAGGTAGTCAGGGCTGGCAGACAGAGAGAATAAGTAGGAGAAGAAGAAGAAAAAGAGAGAGAGAATGGGGAGAAAGAGAGGAACATGCCTGGGAGTAGCCAGGCAGCCAAGAGCCAGACAGACAGGAAAACCGGTGAAAGAAAGATACACAGACAGAAGAAAGGAAAAGGCCCTGAGGCAAAAGGTAGATAAAGAGGAAACAGGCTAATTTAGGTTAAAAGAGCTAGCCAGAAACGAGCCTAAGCTAGGCCGAGCATTCAAAACTAATAAGAAGTCTCCATGTCATGATTTGGGAGCTGGTTGGTGGCCCAAAAGGAAAAGCCTAGTACAGGGCTTCCACCTTCTGGAGACACAGTTCAGAAGCCCCAACACGTCCCCCAGGCTCCACCTGTTCTGGAGTCACCCCATGGTTCTTAGCCTCAGCTTGTGTCAGCAACCTTCCATTCTGGTCTTTCTCTTCTAGCTTCCGGTGCTCTCTGCCTCTCCAAGTCTCGGTGCTCTCCGGCGCTTGATTTGCCTCAGCATCCCTCCTGAACCTTCTCATCTTCAATCTGTTTTCCCCACCCGTCTTCTAGATCTGCACTTGGGAAACTCTCTTGACCTCCCACCCTGAACGATGTCCTTCATCAAATAGTCCTATTACTCTTCAATTTTCTGTCTTGTTCTACTATGCAGTGTAACAAAATCTAATGTGCTGGGTCATTTATAAATAACCAATTTATTCATCACAGTCATGGACATTTGAAGTTCAAGATCGAGATGCTGATTCATGAGCCACTTTCTCATACATCATCATTCTTTTCCTTTAACCTTGCAGAAGGAAAAAGGATCTCTCTGGGGTCTTTTATGAGGATGTTAACCACATTCAGGAGCAATCACTTTCCAGAGGTCTCATCCCCTAATACCATTATCTTAGGGACCAAGATTTCAGTACACACATTTGGAAAGACATATGCATTTAGTTCATTGCACCTTTATCTTATGGAGCATATCACTACTGTGATTTTTTGGGTATGCAAATGATTTTGTAATATTTATTTCTCACATGGAACTGTAATTTCCCTAGCTAGAGTCAGGGGTCATGTTTATCTTGTTCTTGATGGTATCTTCAGCATCTCTCATAGTTAACGGCCATCATAATGGTGTTTAATAAGTATCTGATGAATGGATGGAAGGATAAATGAATGAATCTATCAAAAAACAAAAGTAGTCAATGAGTCAAGGAATGTACTAATCACTGAACTTTGGGGAAGCAGTCTTGAAAGAACAAATCCTCTCTTTGCCCTCCAGGGGGAGACATATTCCTATCAGAATTGGCATGAACCATGCCACACAGAAAACTCTGAGATGGAACCTAATTTACTTCTCAGCCCCCTAGAACGGGTTCCAGACAATCTGCTTGCTTCTTTATTAACACACTCCACGCCAGAGGTTCTCAACCTGTGGGCCATGACCCCTTCATAGGGGTCACCTAAGATCATCAGAAAACACAGATATTTACATTACAGTTCATAATATTAGCACAATTACAGTTATAAAGTAGCAACGAAAATAACTTTAAGGTTGAGGGTCACCACACCATGAGCAACTGTATTAAAGGGTCGCAGCAGCGTTAGGAAGGTTGAGAATTACTGGTCTAGACCATTCAATGGTGCCAGGCAAGTGGGCATTTCGTATCTGTTGTTTCCCTCCATAGTCAATAAAATTTTTTTTTCTGAAAGAATTCATTCATTTTAGTGTTTGTCAGATAATTAAACTTCAATGCTTATGTCTTTGGAAAAAATATAACATGTATGTATTATTTCAATGATATTATTAATGTTAATTGTGTTTTACTGCAATTCTTTTTCAAAATCCCTCAAGCATTCTTTCTCTATGAAGATTTAAATGTTTTGAAATTATTTCTGGTAGTGGAAAATATTGGGATTCTATAGGACAAAAAAACCATGAAAATATAGATGTACAGTGATTTTCACTTAAAAACCTAAATGATTCCTTAATTTCCCTGAGCCCTGGGGAAAATGAAAAGGAAAGCAGGGGGAGGGCACTTGATGTTGGGAGGGTGCCTGTCTCAGGCTGCTTCTGAAAGACGCCCTTGTTTGCTCCCCAGGCGTCCTGGGAGCTCCTCTGGCCGCACACTAATGCTGCTCTGCTTCTACGGAGTGACTCACCCTAATGTGCCTTGTCTTCTTCTAATTTTCTTTCTCTTTATTCTAGCTCCCAAACCCCCTTCTCAGTTTTTCTCTGAGTTCATCCCTTAGCCTTTTTCTTTCTCGGATCAGAGAAGACATCCTAGTGTCCCTGTCTTTGGGAGGTTACTTTTCGGTAGTTCACTTTACCTTAGGCTTGCCGTATACCTTCTGCCTTAGTTATGGCTACTACTGCTGTGATGAAACATTGTAGCCGAAAACAACTTGAGAAAGAAAAAAAAAATTGTTTGGTTTGCATATCTTGAGTCACAGCCTAGTGAGGGAGGCCAAGACAGGAACTCAAAGCAGGTGGGAACCTGGAGGCAGGAGCTGATGCAGAGGCTATGGAGGGGTGCTGCTTACTGGCTTGCTGCACTGCATGGCTTCTCCGGGCTGCTTTTTTTTTTTTTTTTTTTTTTTTTTTTTTTTGTGTGTGTGTGTGTGTGTGTGTGTGTGTGTGTGTGTGTGTGTGTGGCTATATGGTAAGCACCTGTTTAATTTTTTTCTTGAAAATAGATTTTTTTTCATACCATATATTCTGATTATGGTTTCCCCTTCCCCAACTCTTCCCAGATCCTCCCTACCCACCCAAATCTACAATCTTTCTCTCTCTTAGACTACAAACTGAAATATATAATAATAAATAACAATAAATAAATTAAATAAAATAAAAACCAAACAAACAAAAACAGAAAAAAGTGCCAAAGAAAAGGCATAAGAAACACATACAAATTCATAAAAACAAAACTGGGCACCATAATATATAAGCAAAAGATCCATAAGGTTAAAAAAAAAAAGCCTAGACAAAGCATTGTGTGACAAAATACCTCCAAAACTACCAGTGAGTTCCTTTGGTGTTGGCCATCTGCTGCTGGGCATGGGACCTGCCCTAAGTGTTATTTGTATACCCAATGAGGCTCCATTGTAGAAAACTGATTTATCCTCTGTGAGCAGTTATCAATTGGAGATAGCTTCTGGGTTAGGGATGGGGACTTGTGTCTGGCTTCCCCTCCCCACACTAGGACCCCATCTGGCTTAGAGCTGGGTACCGTCTGTGCATGCTGCTAGTCTCTGAGTTTATAGTCGCATCCGTCATATTGTGTCTGGATGGCCTTGTTTCCTTGGTGTCCCCCCCACCCCACCCCTGGCTCTTACAATCTTTCTGCCTTCTCTTTCAGAGTTTCCTGAGCCCCGAGGGGAGGGATTTGATGGAGACATCCCACTTAGGACTGAATGTTCCAAGGTCTCTCACTCTGCACATTCTCCAGTTGTGAGTCTCTGCATTTGTTCCCATCTACTGTAGGAGGAAGATCCTCTGACAGCGGCTGAGAGAGACGCTGATCTATGTATGGCAGAATGCCGTGAGGAGTCATTTCATTGCTATGTTCCTTTAGCAGAACCATGGCGTTAGGTTTTCCTCTAGGTCTATGATGTGTCTAGTCTCAGGTTCTTGGCCATCTGGGCAGTGTGGGGCATAGGTTCCATCTCCTGGAGTGGGCCTTAAATCCAATCAGATCGGGGTCGGTCACTCCCACAAATTTTGTGCTACTATTGCACCAGTATGTCTTGCAGGCCGGCCACCACTTGTAGATCAACGGGTTTGCAGCTGGGGTGCTACTTACCTGTCTCCTTTGGTAGCATGCAGAAAGAGTACCTCCCAGCACCATGAACACGAGGAAGCAGGGATGCTCTAGGTGGGCACCAGCTTGACTTCTCTGTGTTCACTGAGCTATGTAGGTATTGTCTTCAGCAACATGGAGTTGCCAGGTTTGTAGAGAACAACCAGCAGCCTTGGCTATAGCCTGGGTTATTTGTGGGTTTCCAGAGAGCCCCTTTGGCCAACAATTCAATTAGATGTAACCCATTCCTAGCACTGGAGGTTTTATTTGGGGGTTTGCTTTCTTTCTTTTTTTCTTTTTTTTTCTTCTTCTTCTTTTTTTTTTTTTTTTTTT